TTAATGACAAATTAATTTATTTCGTGATATATACATGTCGGTTCTCACCTCAACCTTAAGTTGGCTGGTATTATATATATAATTTTAAGTAGACTGAAAAGAAGGATTTGTTTCTTTAGTGTTTTGATTTGATTTTTTTTTTTTTTTTTTTTTTGTGTAAGGTATAAACAATTATATCGGTAATATAAAAAAAAATATTTTATATTAAATGTTGATTTTTGTGAAATGATAAATATATATATTGAGAATCGTGTCAAAAAAAATTGTGGGCAAACAAACCCGAAATATATTCAAAAGTTTCATCTAAATAGATATTTTTAAAAAACTTCTTAATAGTGAAAACATATTTTAGTGATGTAATATAAATATTCAATGTATTATTCTGTTGAAAAAAAAATACTTTTGATGCATAATACTAAAACTTTAAATGATATTACCTTTGTTTGGCTCTAAGTGTCTCATTTATTGTTTACATATTGATCTTTGAATATTAATTATTATATCAAAATGTAGTACAAATTCAAAAATACTTTCATTAGTGTCTTATAATACTAATAGAAGAACATTTGTACAAAAAAATTATACAAATATAAGAATATTTTTAATGTTAAATATAATGATGCAAAATATAAATGTGACCCTTAGAGGTGGACGCCGGAGTTTAAATATTATGTTTATTTTAAAATTAATTAAAACTTTTATTTCATATGAAAAGAAAATAAATTCAAAACATACTAACAACAATTTTAATATATATTAATAATGTTGAATTGCTTAAATTAAAGCGAAAACATATTTATCTGATTTTACTTTTAATTTGAAATTAAAATTTTGATTAAATTTTGGTTTAAATAATATTTTGATATGATATTTTATAATAAAAGTACTCCCTACATCTCATAATAAGAATAATATTTATTTTTACACGTAGATTTTTTAATATTAATATTATATAGGTTTGTAATAAGAAAAAATAAAAATATCCATATTAGTATTATGTAATATAAAAATAATGTAATTTGTGTAATATATTGTAAATTGTAAAGGTATTATGTTAGACATGCAGCACAACTATGAAACATCTTATTTTGGGACGGAAAAGAAAATAAAAAATAGCACAAATCTTAGGGTAGGAGGGAGTAATATATATATATATATATATTATATATTATTGAAAAATACATTTCTACATATCTACATATAACTACCGAAAAGGGGTTTGATTCCCTTACCTTTTTGGAGGAAATAACTTCTACAAAATTTTTGACCATGAAAAAAATAATATTTACTATCAATCAATCCTTGAATACACCGCATCTTCTGCCTTCATTAAACATGAAACTTCATAGACAAACCCCTCCAAAATTCTTTACTCCGAGTGCAAAGTTTTTTAGGTAATCTCTCTATCTCACTGGTATGGTCTATTACTTACTGAACCTATTCCATTCGCAGAAAAATTCTCTAACCTACCTTTTAAACTAAAACACTACAAGTACTTTGAATACCAACAAGCCTGGTTTAACTTCTGGCTCACTAACAAATCAAAAACCCACACATGGCTCATTTACTTTGACCTAACAGCTAACATAAATTTCTTCCCCATCTGGTGGTCTACTTTGTGGGAATACTTTGGGTCTGTCCCCGAAATTCTTCCACCCATCATCCAAGAATCTTTTCATATATTCTCCAGCAATATTGTCCGACAGAATATGAAAAGACCTATTCCACCCCACTAGCAAACTTCTATACAAATTTTTATGCTCCTTGGATATTTTCTTGGACCCTTGAAATTCATAGTAATAAACACAAGGTGTTGCGGCGAAAGTTTAATGTGAAATGGTGGGGAAAATGTTCAATTGTTAAAAGTATACATCCAGACCAAATCGAGTATTGGAATGCCCCAGATACAAGTGCAAAGCATATTTCAGCAAAGCCAACGACTCCGCAAATCAAATTCCAAGAACAAAAATCTCATATTGCTTCTCTCATTGCAGCCGCAAAAACACCAGAGGAAGCCATTCGAATCATACAAAAGCAACTAGACTCAGACAATTCAACAAGTCAATCAAACGACACATGGTTCGGTAATAGTAGAATATAAAAAAAAAATGATGATGACATTCCACAAAATACGGAAGATACCATCTAAAGGTCAATCGTGACACAATTTTAATATACCAGGAAAAAAATACTTAAAAAAGAAAAATCATATACATATCCTTACTATTTAGCTACACGTATGCACATAACTATATAAAAATACATCTTTACATATCTACATATGCACACATATGTAGATTACTCTATATATATATATATCCCTATCTATATATATAACTACTCTCTAGTACATATGTACACGCATAAATACTATACACATATATATACACATACTTTATATACATATCTACACATAAATACATATATATACTTCCTAACAGGTTCTACTAGCCAGTAAAAGAAGGATGGCCGACAAGATCACATGTTCCACTTACCAATTATGTAATGATGGCCAACTAGACTACCACCGCTTTCCGCATAAGTCATGATAACCAAGTGGACAAAACCCTCGTGACATTTACACATTAGTCCCTTCTCACTTCATCAAGAAAATGAATGGGGGAGGGGGTACAAGTGTGAGCAAGAGAGTCATTCTTCCTTCCTGAAATCCAGAAGTATTAAATGCCTAGGAGTGTCCAATATAATAGTGAAGTCTTAGTAACTAGATTTAGAAGTGTTCAACGTTCTAGTGAAGTCTTAATAACTAAATTCAAAAGTGTTCAACGTTCTAGTGAAGTATAAGTAACTAGGTACGAGTTAGTAAGAAATCGTTGAGTGTTTCAAAGTCGTTACCTTTAAAAATCTTTGAGAGTCAGTATGTCTTAATTTATTTAGTTTATGTTTTATAAATAAACCATAAGTTTGTCAAAGTTGTGTCAAGTTTGAGTCTGTTAAGTCCATAATATGTTCATTAGTGTCATTATGTGAAATCATCAGTTTATTCAAAAGATGTTAACCTGAGTTTATTAGAAGTATATTTAAAAAGCTCAAATCAAGACTATAATGTTCTTAAATACTTTAAAAACCTCAAAGAACTGTAATTACTAATTTTATTAATAGACTTTTCCCCTTGACCGGCAAGGCTAGACTACTAATTTAATTCTAACAGCCCTTACCACTAATTCTAACACTCTAACTATTTTGTATTCTTTTACATCCTTTAAATGACAGTATTATTGAAAATTATAAAAATTAAATATTAAAAATTTAAATTTAAAATGCAAACAAAACACACTTATATATCAAAACTTTTTAGTGAAATCTTATCATCATTTTTTTTAATAATGTGTTTGTTTGCCCAAAAAATTATTTTCTGATACAATTTTTAATATATATTTTATTTTTTTACAAAAATTAATATTTAATATTAAATATTATCTTTTATATTATAAACATAATTCCATACACCTCATATAAAAAAAAAAAATCAAAATACTAAACAAATAAATCCAATAATAAGATCGTGTATTAAATATACTGGTTGAATTAATTAAATAAAATAATTATCAGCTTTATTTGATAATTATTTTTAATTTTTATTGTTTAATAAAAAAATCTATCACCTAATATTACTTTTATCATTATTTATAATAATAAAACATAATAATATTACTCACTCCCTCAACCAATTTTGTAGTATAAGATTGGCCCATCGAAACAAGAGTATAAGATATAAAATTATTTGATTAGTAAAATCAATTCGAATTTGAATTTAATTAAATTTAGTTTATTTTGGTTTTGAATTCAAGTTCAAACTAATTTTTTAAAACATCCGAAATAAACACATTAAAACTTTCAAATCATATTTGCTATCTTTTATTTACATAGATATTTTATATTTGAACTTCTAATATTATTCATCAATAATATTTTTTTACATCAAATATATATATATATATTTTGTTTCCTAACCTAAAGCTTCTCTATAAACAGAGATTGTATATATATTCTTTTTATTCAATGTTCGAAATTAACACTCGTAATACCTCTAAATAACTTAAATTTAATTCTAGTTCAACATAAATGAATTCCATAAAAAATATAGCACCTCATGAGTCTTCCAAATGATAATTAAAGTTTTTTTTTTTTCCTAATAAAATGCAATATCTTTGTTATAAAACATGATATTAAATTACTATAATTTACATCAACTTTAAAATCCAAAACCTTAAAAAAGCACACCACCACAGCACACGACACCATTTACATTCCATTTCTGTTAGATGGGAATGGGAATGGGAATGGAAATGGGATCAAAAGGAAGAGGAGGAGAGGATAGTTCCAATCCTCTTGAGTCTTCACAATAGATGATAGATAGATATGACTGCCATTTCCATTTCTGCCAAGATGGTATGCTATGCTATGCTATGTAATTAAGAAAGTTAACACCATCACAAATCTATCTAAACCATCCATCAGCAACTATTATTTATTGCATATATACTCACTCCTCTCTATTTGGTCAGGTCAGGTCACTCACTCACTAGTAAGAGAGTAACTTCATAAACTTGTGTTGCTTCTGTTACTGTTTTCACTTTTCAGGTAAACATGCACGCCAATAAATGATAAAAACATATTTCTCCCACAATTATTTGCTAACAAGTATTTAATTTATTCCTAATTCATTATCGGTTAACTGAGCAAACACATCTCTAAATCTTAACATATCTTACAAGAATCATAGCTATTAGAATCTCCAACCATTTCTCTCTCAAACAAATTTCACCACTCAATTCGAATCTCCAACCATTTCTCTCTTATAGACATATAAGAGTTCAATAATGCATAAAAAAATGCTTATATATATATATATATACACATGCACACAATCATGATTGATTCCAGGAGTTGATATTTTCTAAACAAATTTCAATCATGTAACTAGATTTACCTGTGAAATCCCACAGCATTTCGGGCATGTGCCCCCAAAACTCATGATCAATCAAAATTTAACTTCTTCTGATGGGAAGTGATCATTAACTCTTGGGACATGATTGAGTTCGGACTAGTCGCACATGAGATCAAAGACAATATCAATTCACTCCAGAAAAATACATACATGTATTGATGGAGTTGAGGGCCATCCTTAGTTCATTAATTCTCTAGCAATTTTCCATCTGCACTGGACAAATCTACAATATACTTATGGCAATGAAACTATAAAACCAGGGTGTGAGGCTCCATGGTAGTGCTGCTGCTGCATTTGGCTCCGCCTAATAATGAAATAAAACACGAGCCACAGATCATTACCAACAAGTGCCATAAAATTATTTTACAATTGTAATATAAAGTGGAACTGAATCTTGATGAAGCCCAAATACATGCGCAAACCCGATAAGCCAGTACCTCATTATACAGGGACAGACTTTTTTTTTCCCTGGAAATACACAATGTCGATGATTCAAAATATGACTCCAACTATACACTTTTATCTTCAGTAAATTAGTATAACCTTTTCTAGTTTCACTTTGTTTGATTTGTGTGAAAGTATATGTACATATAAATACTCAAATTAATGTGTGTGTAAAGTGATATGAACTAATATACTCGATTTTGATAGCAGCTCTGAAATGCAAAGATATTCCTTACCATAGCCTCATCAGCAGGTTATACAGGAAATGAGTCAGAAAGCCTTCCATCGTCATCTTCAGGTATACAATCAGAGCACAAGAAATGGTCCAATTTCTTTACTTCCTCAATGGTCAGGTCCACACAAGAAGGATGAAACCTTGGGCACAAAAATGAATAAACCATAAATTCTCAAGATGGATTTTCACAATTAATGCATCTGCAGTGTTGGAAATTTATCATCTAACATATTGTTTTGAATAACATGATATTTAATGGATTGTAAGTGATTTAGATAACATACACAACTATTGATCTTGTGACCAGATTCAAAGACACTAGGATACTTTTCAATATGCCATCTCACTCCATATCAATTTAAAAGGAAAAAAAGAATAATAACGAGTTCTTCGTTACATAATGTATATACTATATACTCATGCATACATACATATAAGATGGAATAAACATACCAATCATTGCATCCCTCACATCGAACCATGAAATCATCGGGGTTTACAGGCATCTCGCATTTGCAGTACCTTCAAAAACAAAAAAAAAAAATCACCAAGAGGATACACCCGATATTATAAAAGCAAGCCACATTCTCCACATTTACCAAGACTAGCAGAATATTCAAAATTAAAAGGAGAGACTCACACAGCAACACGGTCAGGAGTGAACCGTCCAGTTGCTACGTTGTACTCAAACCTGCAAAAGTAGTCATCTCTACCCACAGTCGGAATCTTAGCATAGTTCTTAAATGTGTGCACATAGCACTTTCCCTCGATAGTCTCTACTCTCTGCACATCATAGTGATCCGATAGAAAGAGCTCCTTTGAACCATGAAACACCCCACGTCCCCCAACAGATTCCTCGGGGCGATAGTACCACCGCACCAGCACCTTGACAATGTTCCGGTAGTCAGACTCAATTTTCTCCACTTTTGCAACATATGGAGGATTGCCTGCATCACATGGTCTCATCAACACACAGTCACCCGCTGCAAAAACACCCACCAATCTTAGTCCAAGCTCTCAAAATTGCCATCAGCCAAACTTTAAGAATATAAACACATCATAGTAGCTACCTTGGAGTAAGTGCATACCAAATCATGTAGAAGCGATAAATCAAAGTAGCCTATAGATTGATTAGATTGTTATAGAACATCGATGCATATAACCACTCTTGTTAGCATTAAATGCGTAGATGACAATAAGACAATCAATCTAATTTAGTAATGTGCAAGTATCCGCCCGTTGACGTAAACAAAAATTTAATATTTTCTCACAATGCGGAAGGAAATGCTTAGGCAGTTAGGTAGAATTTAGAAATGAACAAAACACTACAACGAAGGACCCAAAATACTGAATCCCAATTAATGTTTAAAGTATAAATGTAAACAATTTCCTTGCCATTCTTTCTGGTGTGGAGTTAGATCTGGTCGAATTCAGTAAAAAACCACACCAATCCAAGTATCCAACCCATGTAATTTGCATATGCATACCAATACAAATTCAGATCATTGTAGATGATTTGCAAACCACAACTTTTGATCAGATCAAACTTTCAACATCGAAACCTACATAATATATTACCGGCTTTTAGCTGTATTTTTTATTTTAAGGTAAGTTATTTTTAAATTTCCAATCCTTTTTTAACCCTTTAACCTTAAAATCATCTTCCCACTTCTCTCCTGCTTACTTTCCTACGTTTTCTTCCCCTGTTCTGCTTTCAATTCTCTACCCCACGCTTGTTTCAATGATGTAATGTTGTTTGTAATATTATCCACTGTTTTTACTTTCTTAGCATTCAACTAATATGTCGTTAATTGAAATGATTCTGCCTAAAACTATATCACAAGTTTCAAACATCCTGTTGCAGTAAACAGCAATGTGTGTGTGCGCGCATATAAATACATTAATTGTATATTAATACTTTATGGAAGGCGCCATGGCGAGTGGGCATACACCAAACGTTCATTCTTTCGAATTATGATTATGCAAAGTAGCAAAAACATTTAAAACCTAGGCATTTAGGTCAAAAAAAAGTTATTCCAGAAAACAAAAAACTAGAGAAAGTAAAATTAATTTCCAAAATTACGTTTCAGGACTGTGTTGGTGCGATGCATGGTGAATGAAGCAAGTTCCTTCTTCCCAGGCTTCGACTTCGCCATATCTCTTCACAAATGAACAAATAAATACAGAAATTCCGAAAACCGCCTGCATATAATGTAAATCCTACTTCACATCCAACAATAGACAAGAAAACACCTCGTGACTTTTAGGGAAAATGGAGAAAAAATTGAAGCGGCAGACTTCGGCGGAGAAGACGAGTGTCATCACTCATCAGTCGGGCGGTAGTATCTTTTCCCTCGGATATTTATATTCTTCGTAATAACACTTTTAACCCTTCAAAATTGTCTACACAGTACTCCCTCCATACCAAACACACCAAACAAGTGCAACATTTATTTTTGGCATAAATTTTTAAGTGGATAGTATTAAAAATAATAATTTAGAAATTAGGTGATATAATAGAGAGAGAAATATATATTTTATTTTTTTATTTGAATAATGTGAGGAAGATAAAGTGTGGATTAGAGATTATGTATAATTAATTATTTCCTATTTTGAAAATATTGTAGGGCGTTTGAGACATATTAAAAAAAAAATATTGCACGGTGTTTGGAATGGAGGGAGTAATATTTTATCATCACAATGTCATATACTTTGTCTACATAGTACTCCCTCCGTCCACTTATCATGTCCACATTATCGTTTTTATCTATTTTACATTTGACTTTACTTTACTTTTTCTTTTTAAATAATTATACATTTTATCTCATTTTATTACTTATTTTAATCTTGTATAATTATTTTTTCTAATACATTCTTAATTATCTACTAATTATATTTATTTTAAATTCTCGTGTCTACAGTAACTCGGACACGGTACATGGAACGGAGGAAGTAATATATATTTTATCCTCACTCCTAACATATAGTCCCTCGCTCCGTCTTTCTTTCAATGGTTTTTTTTTCTTTGTCTTATTGTAATTGACATATTTGTATTTTTAATAAAAATTACTAAATAATCTATAATATAATATACAATCTACTCAAAAAAAATTTATTTCTCTCTCTTTAAAAATAATTTTTTTATCTATATTTAAAACTTCTATTTTTTATATTATAAATTAATAAATATATTTTTTTTATTTAGTTGTATTATTTAAAATTTTATTTTCTTGTTACGAGAAAACAAAAAAGAAAGCAAATAAAGAACAGAGGTTTTACATGGTTCGGTAAAGGTGTGTCAACCTACGTCTACAGGCCGGAACCAAAGAGATTTTATTATACTGATTCAAAGAGTTACAATCATGTCATACGACTAGAGACCATAGCTATATATTTATAAGCACCCCAAAACACCCTAAGTCCTTAGCTTATTTGTTATTCATTAAGATAAGCCCAAAAGTAACCCTGTTAATTGAAACAACTATTTCGCTTTGGTTTCGAGTTGGATAGACCGCTAAATCCAAGTCACGTTTCAACAATGTCCACCTTGACTTGGAGTTTCTCCAACCGCCAAAATTTCATCAGTATCTTTCAGTCGTCTCCTTCCTGCCAGATGCCCCGAGAGGACTTTACTTCCTGCGAATATTTACCAAGTTCAAGCAGTGCTCGAACTTCTCCGTCAGTAATACCTTTGTCAACATATCAGCTGAATTGTGTTCTGTAGCTATTTTCTAAATAGAAAATATGTCTTCCTCCAAAACATCACGGATAAAATTCAACCTTACATAAATATGTTTGGTTCTCTCATGGTACACTGGATTTTTAACCAAACTCAAAGCACTCTAACTATTACAGAATAACACCGGTTTCTCCATCTTCGGACCCAAACTCTGCACCAGACCATGTAACCAAATACCCTGCTTAATACCTTTGGTCATTGACATGTATTCCGCCTCAATCGTCGACAGTGCAACCGTAGGTTGTAAAGTAGACTTCCAACTAACTGCACATCCAAACAGAGTGAAGATAAAGCAAGTCAATGATCTTCATTTCACCAAGTCACCCCCATAATCAGAGTCTGCATAGCCAATTAGACCATCACCATGGCCTTTATCATCATATACAGACAAATATCAGACGCTTCTTTCAAGTATCGCAAAATTCACTTTACAGCCATCCAGTGAACTTTACCCGGATTAGCCATAAACCTGCTCACCACACTAACCGCATAAGCGAGATCCGGTCTCGTACATACCATTGCATACATAAGACTTCCAACTGCACTTGAATATGGAATTGTTTTCATGTAGCTAACCTCTTCATCTGTAACCGGTATAGTGCTTCGATCAAGTTTAAAGTGTGCCGCCAAAGGGGTACTTACCGGTTTGGACTGATCAACAGAGAATGCCTGCAAAACTTTCTCAATATACTTTTCTTGAGAAACCCATAGCCGTTCTGCTTTTCTACCACGCCAGATCTCCATACCTAGTATTTTCTTTGCTGCACCCAAATCCTTTATCTCAAACTAACCATTTAGTAGAGCCTTCAAGTCATTAATTATAACCATATTTTTAGCTGCAAATAACATATCATCCACTTACAATAGCAGATACACAAAAGAATCACTAGAAACTTTCTTCGAGTAAACACAATTATCAAACTAATTACGAGTATAACCATTAGACACCATGAAAAAATCAAATCTTTTATACCACTGCCTCGGAGACTGTTTCAAGCCATATAGAGTTACTTTAACAAGCATACCTGGTCCCCTTTAGAACTGTTGAACCCCTCCGGTTGAGACATGTAAATCCGTTCTTCTAGATTACTATGAAGGAATGTTGTTTTTACATCAAGCTGCTCCAGCTCCAGATCAAAAGCACCCACCATTGCCAAAAGAACCCGAATATTTTTGTGTTTCACCACAGAAGAAAATACTTCATGGTAATCGGTTCCTTCCTCCTGTGAAAATCCTTTTGCCACCAATCTCGCCTTGAACCTAGTAGGTTCAACATCAAGAATTCTCTCCTTTCTTTTACAGACCTACTTGCATCCCACTGGCTTCACCCATTTTGGTAGTGCAACAAGATCCCAAGTCTTGTTCTTTTCAAGAGACTGCATCTCTTTATTCATTGCTATAATCTTGTTTTTTGCATCTTTACTCGTCACAACTTCTTTATATGTCTTTGGCTCATCAGAGTCAAGATCATCACCAACCGCCAATGCATAAGCCACAGAATTTCATGTCACATGTGTTGACACATCCTGCAAACCTAGCTGGTTTTTGAATATTTCTCTTTCCCTTTCTTGCTGCTATGAAATCTTCAACCTCAATACCAAATTCATCAGTTTCCTCCTCAACTAGTTTCCCTTGAGTTTTTGACTGATCTGGTTGATCAGATTGATCAATAGTATTATCCTGCTACTTTTCCTCTAACACAATTCTGCTAGGAGTCTCAAACTCTACCCTCTGGTCAGTAACACAATCTTTTGTACCTGTAATACTTTCACAACCTCTACTCTGATCAAGCATAGCATATTCATCAAAGGTTACATCTCTGCTAATAAGAAATTTACCAGGATTTTTACCTTATGTACACCACAATCGATAACCTTTGACTTCTGTTACATACCCTAGAAATATGCATTTTACCTCCCTAGGCTCCAGCTTACCATAATTCATATGAGCGTATGCAGGACATCCAAATATTCTTAAATTAGAGTAATCAGAGGGTTTACTGGACCATACATCTTGAGGAGTCTTTAAGTCAATTGTAGTTGATGGAGATCTATTAACCAGATAGCTAGCAGTGTTAACTGCTTCAGCCCAGAATTGCTTAGATAAACAAGCAAATATGCGCATACACATAGCACGCGCCATGAGGATTTGGTTCATTCGCTCTGCAACTCCATTTTGCTGTGGTGTGTGTCGTACAGTGTGGTGCCTCACTATACCTTCTTTCTTGCAGAAATCATCAAATAGAGCATTGTAGAACTCCAACCCATTATCAGTTCTTAGAGTCTTGACCTGTTTACCCGTCCGTTTTTCAACCATGGTCTTCCACTCCTTGAACTTCCCAAACACCTCATCTTTAGTCTTCAGAAAGTACAACCAGACTTTTCTCGAATAATCATCTATGAAAGTGACAAAGTAAGAACAACCACCCTGCGATTTCACCAGAGAGGGACCCCATAAGTCTGAATGAACATACTCCATAATTTCTTTTGAAGTGTGATGACCGGTACTAAACCTCACCCTGCGTTGCTTCCCTTTTACACAAGCCTCACGTAATTGAATTTTACCTATCACATCCCCACCAAATAAACCCTACTTGCTCAACACAGAAAACCCTTGCTCACTCATGTGACCTAATTAACGGTACCACAAATTTATCTTGTCATTATGTTTATTCAAGGACTGGGATACCGCTGCTGTTCCCATCACTGTACTGCCCTGTAGAAAATAAATTCCATGCTGCAGTTTTCCTTTCATCATTACCAGAGCACCTTTCAGGACTTTCACCTACTCACCTTCACCATGATATATTAAACCATTCTTGGCTAAGGTGCCAAGAGAAATCAAATTCTTTCTGAGTTCAAAAACATACCAACAGTCAAATTTCCTGACAGTACCGTCATGAAATTTTATCTGCACTATCCAGCTCCCCTTTATGGCTAGAACCCCATCATCACATAACTTCACCGTTCTATTCCACTCCTTAAAAGAAGTGAGTAGATCACGAGAGAACGTCATATGGTGAGAAGCACCGGTATCCATAATCCATAAATCAGCAGTACTAGCACTATACGCTGTTAGAACTTCACCAAAGTTCCCATCATCAGAACTGTCTTGTACCACAGCAGCACTACTGCCACTGTTACTAGAATCAACTTTTGTATTTCCCTTCTTTTGTGTACAATCCTTTTTATTGTGCTCCTTCTCCTTGCAAAGATAATACTTAACTTTCATAGAGGATTTTGATTTTGAACGCGACCTCCCATTCCCGTGACCCATCTCCTGTGGTCTTTCCCTACCTGCAAACAGACCTGAATCAGAACCCTCTTCCAGATAAACCTTTATTTTCAATTCTATTGACATAAGGACATCTTTCACATCATTAACAGAAATTGTAGTTCTCTCATATAGCATAGTATCTATAAAATTCTCATATGAACCAGGTAGTGAACATAGTAAAATTAGGGCTTGATCTTTATCATCTATTTTAACATTAACCCCTTGAAGATCAAGAATAATACGGTTAAAGGTATCAAGATGATCCTTTACCTGAGTACTTTCGGACATCCGGAGGGTGTAAAGACGTTGTTTCTGATATAGCCTGTTCGTGA